AAAAAAAAAAATCATATATCTGAAACATCTCTTATAATAAAAGAATAAGATGGGGCACCTGGGTGGTTCAGTCAGTTAAGCAACCGACTTTGGCTCAGGTCATGATCTCGTGTTTCACAAGCTGGAGCCCTGCGTCGGGTTCTGTGGTGACAGCTCAGAGCCTGGAGCCTGCTTTGGATTCTAGGTCTCCCCCTCTCTCTGCCCCTCCCTGCTTGTGCTCACTCTCTCTCTCTCCCTCTCTCAAAAATAAATAAACATTAAAAAAATTTTTGAAGAGTTAAAGAATAAGAAAATCACATTAGGAAGAAAAAACTGAAGCATCTAAACTAGCTAGGCACTAAATATTATGATATGAGTATTCCCTATCCGAAAGCAAAATAAAACAAAACAAAAACAATATAATGTTCAGGCCCCATTTTCAAAAATCTAGATATGCTTATCTACACCTTCACTGGCTTCCACAGTTACTGACAGAAAAGCATTTTAAAATAATGGCACAGGGGCTCCTGGGTGGCTCAGCTGGTTAAATGCCCAACTTTGGTTCAGGTCATGATCTCACAGTTCACAAGTTCAAGCCACTCATTGGCCTCTGTGCTGACAGCCCAGAGCCTGGAGCCTGCTTCAAATTCTGCATCTCCCTCTCTCTCTGCTCCTCCCCCGCTCATGCTCTGTCTCTCTCTCTCTCTCAAAACAAATAAACATTAAAAAAATTTTTTTAAATAAATAAATTAATGGCACAGATTAAGAAGCAGTCTGTTACTCTCAGCAAATTAGCAAAGCCATTCTCCAGATTATATGAAACATACAAAAAGGGAAAGCAAGAATGGAAGGGACTATATTGAAACTTGTACTTAAACTTCCTCAACCAAACAGCCTGCATTTTATATTTAGCTGGTATCAGGATTCCTTCTTCATTATATTATTACCTTTTTTTGTCCACAGGAGGCAAAGAAATACTGCTGCTTTTCCACTTAACTTTGACATTCTCTTGGAAAACAGTTCTATTCAAGGCAATGAAATATCGTTCCAAGATGACCAGCCTCTGCTTGAGTCTCAGGGCTGAAAGGGTGGTAGTGGCTGACTGGATGGCCAGAGCTTGCTGCTCTTTAACCAACACAGAAAGACATTCCTTCAATTCATTCACATCTAGAAAACAAGAAGAAAATACCCAGCCTCTCAATATCTTGCTCATAGTTTGTTATAAAGATGATAAAGTGAATGGTAACAATAATATATAACACTTGAATACTTAGTATGTGCCAAAATGGTTTTAAGCACCTTACACCTATTAAGTACCTCTCAGTCACCATCAAGAGGTAGTATTGTACATGTATTTTAAGGAGGAGGAAACTGAGGCACAGAGAATTTGTGCAAGGTGACCCAAAGGATTACAGCATATGAGACAGACCATTCCTAGCCACCATGGTATGCTGCCTCTCTGAAACACTATATAAAAGTTTTTAACATAAAATTATAAAGTCAGTACTTAGCAGCATATTTCCTACAGAGAAAAAATCTATCCATTATATTCATGCTGTATAACCAAATTCAAAATATACATGTTTCAATAAAATTGCCCAGCATAGGGGCACCTGGGTGGCTCAGCCAGTTAACCATCTGACTCTTATTTTTTTTTTAACTTTTATTTATTTTTGAGAGACAGAGAGAGAGCATGAATGGGGGAGAAGCAGAGAGAGAGGGAGACACAGAATCCGAAGCAGGCACTAGGCTCTGAGCTGTCAGCACAGAGCCCCACATGGGGCTTGAACCCACGAACTGTGAAATCATGACCTAGGATGCTTAACCGACTGACCCACTCAGGTGCCCCAGTGTCTAACTCATCATTTCGGCTCAGGTCATGATATCACCATCATGAGCTTGAGCCCTGCAGGAGGCTCTGCCCTGGGCATGAAGCCTGCTTAAGATTCTCTCTCTCCCTCTTCTTCTTCCCTCCTCCACTCATGCTCTCACTCTCTCAAAGAAAAGAAAAAAAGAAAAGAAAAGAAAAGAAAAGAAAAGAAAAGAAAAGAAAGGAAAGGAAAGGAAAGGAAAGGAAAGGAAAGGAAAGGAAAGGAAAAGAAAGGAAGGAAGAAAACTGCATAGCATATATGACTCATGAAAGGTAATATATTTATTGGAATATTTCAGGGAAAAATAAAGTAATTACAGTTGACCCTTACAGAACACAGTTTTAAACTACATGGGTCCACTTATACCCACATTTTTTTCAATAAATATATTGGAAAATTTTATGGAGATTTGCAACAATTTTTTTAAAAACTTACAGACAAATCACAAATAGGAAAAATCTCAATTAATATTCAAATTTCAAATATGAAAAAATAAATATAGGTTTGTCATGAATGCATAAAATGTATGTAGCTACTAGTTTATTTTATCATTTATTACTATAAAATATACACAAATCTATTATAAAGTTAAAATTTATCAACACTTACACACAAAAATACAGTCCCTACATGGTGCCATTCACAGTCAAAAGAAATGTAAACAAATCTAAAGATTCAGTATTAAATCATAACAGCATAAAATTAACAACAGTACAGACTTACTGTAATGTCTACTGTAATAATTTCATAACCACCTCCTGTTGCTACTGCAGTGAGCTCAAGTGTTCCGAATATCCACTTAAAATGCCAAAAAGATGCTAATCATCTCCACATGAGCAGTTCATCTCTCTACTAAATTGCATACTGCAGTAAAAAGTGATCTCTAGTAGTTCTCTTGCATACTTTCATTGTGTTTAGTGCAATACCGTAAACCTTGAATAACACCATGGGACCCATAAATAGTGCCACTTATGATGCTGGAAGTGCTCCCAAGAAGCAGAGAAAAGTCATGACATTACTAGAAAAGGTTGAACTGTTGGATATGGACCATAGGTTGAGGTCTGCAGCTGTGGTTGCCTGCCATTTCAAGATAAATGAATCAAGTATAAAAACCAATGTGAAAAAAAGAAAAGGAAATTCATAAAGCTGACACAGCAGCTACACTACTAGCAAACACAAAAACATTGCACTTTATGCGAAATACCTTTTATCTAGTACTAAAAAGGCAGCTTTTATATGGGTGCAGGATTGCTATAGAAAGGCATACCTATAGAGACATTAAAGTGATTTGAGAAAAAGCAAAGTCATTATATGACAACTTAAAGCAAAAAGAAGGTAAAGATCAACATCTGGAGAATTTAATGCCAGTAAATGACAGTTTGGGAATTTTGGAAAGAAGTTTAGCTTAAAAAACGTCAAGATAACAGGAGAAGCAGCTTCTGCTAACCAAGAGGAAGCATACAAGTTTCCAGATGCCATTCAGAGTGTCACTGAAGAGAAAGAAAATCTGCCTGAACACGTTTTTAATGCAGATGCAAGTGCTCTATTCTGGAAAAAAAGAAAATACCACAAACAGCATTTATTACTAAGGAAGAGAACTGAGCACCAGGATTTAGGGCAGGCAGGGATAGACAAATACAGTCAGGCTTACGATCAGGACTGCCCTTATCTATAAAACTGCTAATACCTACGCCTTGAAACGCAAATATAAACACCAGCTGCCAGTCTTCTGGTTGTCCAACAAGAAGGGCTGGACAAGAACCCTTTTTCTGGATGGGTTCCATCAATGCTTTGTCCCTGATGTCAGGAAGTACCTTATCAAACAGGGACTACCCTTTAAAGTTCTTTTTTTTATATATATGAAATTTATTGTCAACCTGCTTTCCATACAACACCCAGTGCTCATCCCAACAGGTGCCCTCCTCAATGCCCATACCACTTTCCCCTCCTTCCCACCCCCCATCAACCCTCAGTTTATTCTCAGTTTTTAAGAGTCTTATGGTTTGCCTCCTTCCCTCTCTGTTTTTTTTCCTTCCCTTCCCCCATAGTCTTCTGTTAAGCTTCTCAGGATCCACAAAAGAGTGAAAACATACGGTATCTGTCTTTCTGTATGACTTTTTTCACTTAGCATAACACTCTCCAGTTCCATCCATGTTGCTACAAAAGGCCAGATTTCATTCTTTCTCATTGCCAAGTGGTATTCCATTGTGTATATAAACCACAAATTCTTTATCCATTCATCAGTTGATGGACATTTAGGCTCTTTCCATAATTTGGCTATTATTGAAAGTGCTGCTATAAACATTGGGATACAAGTGCCCCTACGCATCAGCACTCCTGTATCCCGTGGGTAAATTCCTAGCAGTGCTGTTTCTGGGTCATAGGGTAGATCTATTTTTAATTTTTTGAGGAACCTCCACACTGTTTTCCAGAGTGGCTGCACCAGTTTGCATTCCCACCAACAGTGCAAGAGGGTTCCCGTTTCTCCACATCCTCGCCAGCATCTATAGTCTCCTGATTTGTTCATTTTAGCTACTCTGACTGGCGTGAGGCGGTATCTGAGTGTGGTTTTGATTTGCATTTCCCTGATGAGGAGTGACATTGAGCATCTTTTCATGTGCCTGTTGGCCATCTGGATGTCTTCTTCAGAAAAGTGTCTCTTCATGTTTTCTGCCCATTTCTTCACTGGATTATTTGTTTTTTGGGTGTGGAGTTTAGTGAGTTCTTTACAGATTTTGGATACTAGCCCTTTGTCCAATATGTCCTTTGCAAATATCTTTTCCCATTCCGTCGGTTGCCTTTTAGTTTTGTTGATTGTTTCCTTTGCAGTGCAGAAGCTTTTTATCTTCATGAGGTCCCAATAGTTCATATTTGCTTTTAATTCCCTTGCCTTTGGAGATGTGTCAAGTAAGAAATTGCCGTGGCTGAGGTCAGAGAGGTATTTTCCTGCTTTCTCCTCGAGGGTTTTGATGCTTTCCTGTCTCACATTCCGGTCCTTCATCTATTTTAAGTTTATCTTTGAGAATGGTGTAAGAAAGTGGTCTGGTTTCATTCTTCGGCATGTTGCTGTCCAGTTCTCCCAGCACCATTTGTTAAAGAGACTGTCTTTTTTTGATTGGATGTTCTTCCCTGCTTTGTCAAAGATTAGTTGGCCACACTTTTGTGGATCCAATTCTGGAGTCTCTATTCTATTCCATTGCTCTGTGTGTCTGTTTTTGTGCCAATACCATGCTGTCTTGATGACTGCAGCTTTGTAGTAGAGGCTAAAGTTTGGGATTGTGATGCCTCCCGCTTTGGTCGTCGTCTTCTTCAATATTACTTTGGCTATTCGGGGTCTTTTGTGGTTCCATACAAATTTTAGGATTGCTTGTTCTAGCTTCAAGAAGAATGCTGGTGCAATTTTGATTGGGATTGCATTGAATGTGTAGATAGCTTTGGGTAGTATTGACATTTTAGCAATATTTATTCTTCCAATCCATGAGCACGGAATGTTTTTCCATTTCCTTGTATCTTCTTCGATTTCCTTCATAAGGCTTTCTATAGTTTTCAGCACACAGATCTTTTACATCTTTGGTTAGGTTTATTCCTAGGTATTTTATGATTCTTGGCGCAATTGTGAATGGGGTCAGTTTCTTTGGCTTTCTGTTGCTTCATTATTAGTGTATAAGAATGCAGCTGATTTCTGTACATTAATTTTGCATCCTGTGACTTTGCTGAATTCATGTATCAGTTCTAGGAGACTTTTGGTGGAGTCTGTTGGGTTTTCCATGTATAATATCATGTCATCTGCAAAAAGTGAAAGCTTGACTTCATCTTTGCCAATTTTGATGCCTTTGGTTTCCTTTTGTTGTCTGATTGCTGATGCTAGCACTTCCAACACTATGTGAAACAGCAGCGGTGAGAGTGGACATCCCTGTCGTGTTCCTGGTCTCAGGGGGAAAGCTGTCAGTTTTTCCCCATTGAGGATGATATTAGCTGTGGGCTTTTCATAAATGGCTTTTATGATGTTTAAGTATGTTCCTTCTATCCCGACTTTCTCGAGGGTTTTTATTAAGAAAGGATGAGGATGCTGAATTCGGTCAAATGCTTTTTCTGCATCGATTGACAGGATCATATGGTTCTTATCTTTTCTTTTATTAATGTGATGTATCACGTTAATTGATTTGTGAGTGTTGAACCAGCCCTGCAGCCCAGGAATGAAGCCCACTTGATCATGGTGTATAATTCTTTTTATATGCTGTTGAATTCGATTTACTAGTATCTGATTGAGAATTTTTGTGTCCATATTCATCAGGGATATTGGCCTGTAGTTCTCTTTTTTTTGCTGGGTCTCTGTCTGGTTTGGGAATCAAAGTAATGCTGGCTCTACAGAATGAGTCTGGAAGTTTTCCTTCCCTTTCTATTTTT